AAGGGCTTTTTTTTTTGTTTGGTTTTTTTTTTTTTATAAAGGAATGCTTTACAAGGAAACAGCCCACCTTTATCGACTCTTGTGGCTGACTGCTCATCTCGCCCATGGTGGACTGTTTTCCAGACTGAACCCCAAATTATCCTTCTCTACAGGGGAGGCACAGAGAGGTGAGGCTTGCCCGAGGTCACACAGCCTCAGCAGGGCACACACTGCTCTTCCAAGCTGCTCAAGAAGTTGCCTCCCTCCTCAGCAACCCACGGCCGGGCCGATGGGAATGGAAGTTAGCTTTGGCCGCATTCTAGTTGACGTCCACACTACACCCACTCTTCCTTCCCCCGAGTTCCTGTCTCTTCAGGAGAACGGGTGACGGCAAAGAACAGAAGGAATTGGAGCCTACCCCCGGGTTTCGCGTCGACAATTCGCAAAGTCATCAGTGAGCCTCCTTTACTGTTGATTCTTTAGGAGTGAAAAACAAAGCGCATTAAACAGCCTGCTTTGCCCAGGCTTGGCCGGCTCCCAGGGAGGGAAGGCCTGTGTCCAGACGGGGTGATGCACACGGCCCCCCTGCTCCTCCGCCTCCAGGACAAATTTCTACCAGGGCCTGTCAGTCACTCCCCCTGCATGCTCCCCCCCCACCCCCGCCCGACTGCCGCCTGCTCGGGGCCAGCCTTGTGCTGGGTGCCTCAGCAGCTGTGCTGGACGGACGGGGCTCTGGCCGGGCTCACCACCCCGGGAGCTGATGAGGGCACAAGGGACCATGAGGTGAGGAAGCAGGGCAGGTGGCTGGGGCGGGGCCGGGGCAGCATCCTCACGGAACCGAAGGCTGAGACCTGAAAGGCGAATGAAGTGTTCCAGACGGAGGGGAGCACCTGCAGGAAGGCCCCGCACGGGTCAGAACCCCGAATGTTTGAGAAGCAGAAAGGTGATCGGTTCAGGGTGGGACAGATCCACGGCCCTGACCCAAAGTCACCTTCACGTTCTTACCAACTGACCTCCTATATTATGGCCACAGGTGCCGGCCAAGAAGCTTGGACTTTTGTGAGCGGCGCTCAAAGCTTGCAGAGAAAAACTGTGAAGTCTTATCGCTTTGTTTACTTTTTAAAATGTCAAAGCTCATATACAAGTCAGAGCTATTAATAACATGTTTCAAGTTCACACAGCGTCTTTTTTTTTTTTTTAAAGACCACAAATTGTCCCACAGTGTTGGTCCCCTGCATTGAGAACATTCCTCTGAAAAAAATCCCCAGGCAAACGACTAAAGAAACAAATAGCTTTGGTGACCCTCCTGACTCAGGGCCGCAGCCAAGCTAGGCAGCCCCTTTCCATCCAAGTCCAAGTGCAGAAGCACCAGCCATGGAGCGCAGCCCTCGCCTCGCTCTAGAACCGGCCCTCCTCCCCCCCGTGTGGCCCAGCAGTGGCGGCCTTGAGAGGGTCGCCCTGCGCCGGCCGCCTGTCCACCAGCACCCCGTCTTCCAGGGCCTCCCACGTGGGTGCTGGGGGTGCACACCAGCACCGAGGCCGCTGACGCTCACCGCAAACCGCTCTGTAAGCTCAGGGGGCTGGAGGGAGAGCGTCGGCTGCCGCCTTCGGATGCTGGGGTATTAGTTCCCAGGCCAGCGACTGAGCCAGCCCTGGCGGCTTTCTGTTCTCCACGACTCAACCGCCACCAGCTGGATGGGAATCCCATGTTTGCAGCCCCAGGGCGGAGATGTGTGGCTGGGTGAGGGGACCCTGATTGACTGGTGGCCGGAGGAGGGACGGGTGTGTATCCGCAGGCTCCCCGCTGGCAAGAAGCTCCTGGGGACCCTGGGACACCCACAGTATGTTGCCTGAGTTTGGCCAGCATCCCGAGTCTGAACTGTGGGGCGGGGTAGGGGCGGGGGGGGAAGGGGCAACTCGCCTGTGCTCCCCAAACACCCGGCATCTGCCCCACCAGCTGGCCCAGAGGCAATGCCCTCTTCTCCCGTCTCCCCGAGTCACTGTCCTGTCTAATTTGCAAATGCCTCTGGAGCCAGAGCCGGAGTCTCAGGGGCCCGGCTGACATGAGGGGCCCGCACTGCCACAGTCAGTGGTCACCCGGGGTCACAGGACAGTCCACAAGTTACTGATCCGTCCTCGGACGCCAGGCATCCAGGCCCCATTGTTAGGAAGCTCAGCTAAACAATCGCGCCCTTTCACCCTTCCTGGCTGTGCCTCAGTTAAGGAACCGTGTGGGTCTCAGAGTGAAATTTGCTGCGCACGGGAGTGTGACCCCAGCTGCGGGGAGGCCACAGGGACCCCTGCCCAGGGGCTGGGTGAGCCCGGGCGAGCCTCTCCAGGGGACAGAAGGTGCTCTGCTACAAGACTTGAGGGTTCCCTCCAGTCCTAAAATTCAAAGCTGGGGCAGACCTGGCATGGGGAGGAGCTACTATCTGCTGACAGAGAATCCCACCCGCGCAGAAGATGCCGGCCAGTGCATCCTCGATACTCCCCCCCCTCCCCCCCGCCCGCTGACGGGCTGAGCAGGGGTCTCCCAGGCCAGGGCAGGGCAGGGGCGGGCAGGCGGGCGCCACTAAGCTGTTGCTCTCAGGCTCCGAGTGTCAACCCTAATCGGGGATTAGCGGGAATCAAGCCAGAGGAGGACGAAGGGAAACGCCCGCAAGGCTGGCCGCCAAGGTCGGGACCCCCACTCACGCCCGAGCAGCCGCTCCTGTACCCAGGCCGCCAGTCAGTGCGGGGAGAGGGTGGGCCTGGCCCGGGCGGGGTGTGACGACCCACCTTCCAGATCCTGTAGGCCTCTCTGCAAAACGTGCCGTTTGAGTTCAAATCAAGCGACGCTTCCAGGCATCAGGGCAGGCGGGGGGACACCGAGCGCATGCGCACACACGCGCGCGCACACACACACACACACACACACACACACACACACAGCCAAGCCACACCCGAGACCACAACTGCAGCTAACCTGCGTCCTCACAGAGCCATCGGCGAAGGCTCTGCCCATTTCCAGTTGACCCCGGTGCATTATTGCCACTTCCGGGCAGGAGTCTGGAAAAGCTGATGTCTGAGACTCTGCAGCGTGTGGTGGGCAGCAGGTAGAGAGCAGAGAGCACGCAAGCCAAGCCTGTCTCCCTGCGCACAGAGCCCGTCCCGTCCCGCACAAAACTGCCGGTGATCTGGGCGACACCTTCAGGTGGTGTTTTTTCGGTGTTTTCGGCTTTCCCTGAGCGACCAGAGACAAACTCCAGATCAGAGCGCCCCTCCTTCCTTCCTCCACACTCCAGGCACGCGGGTAATCTGGAAGCATCCCATCTAAGGCAATCCTATGTTCTGAAGCCAATCGAGAAATGTCAGGACATGAAGAAACACGACCCAAGCAGGTCCATCCCAGACCTGCAGGAGGCAGGGTCAGGCCTCTGCGCCGGAAGCTGCAGATCATTCGGCCCACAACCCGCTCACATTTCACAGGCCTGGGTCAAGGCTCCCACCTGTTCACACCACCAGCCCAACGTATGCCCAGCCACAGAGCCCAGACACCAGGTCACCTGGGGGGCGGGTCACAGACAGTGGCCGCTTGGGGAAGCAAGTCTGTGGTTGCTCACATGTGTGAGGTCATGTGGTTTTAGGTCTCCCAAAAGAGATGGGGTGTTTCCAGAGTGCCTGGCTGGCTCAGTCAGGAGAGTATGTGAGTCTTGATCTCAGGGTTGTGAGTTCAAGCCTGGGTGTGGAGCTTACTTAAAAGAGAGAAAGAGAAAGAGAGAGAGGAGAGAGCGAGAGATGAGGGGGTTCCCATGATAGGAGATGTCCAGCTCTGGACAAGTGGGGTACAGATTTTAGGCATCAAGACAGACAGAGGGCAGTCAACTGACCTTGAAGCCTCGTTTCCATCTGAAAGGTACAGTCTATTTTTTTCAACAGCTCAGAACACGACCTTTTGAGTCGATGAATTTATATCCATTTACACGCAAAGGCTCTTAGTTTTTTAAATCTCTGGCTGCGTACGTCAAGGCTGTGGCTCTAAGGCCAGGCAGAGAGGGCCGACGACGGAATATTTTGGAGGCTAAGGGGTCCAGACACGAAGCGTTCACTATTCTTAAACCCAGTGGCCACGGGCTTCTCCCCTAAGCTGCACAGGCCGGTGAAGGAGGGTGAAAGCAAGGGTGGTGAGCGAAGCCGGGGAGGTAATTCCCCAAAACACCAGGCCCCGGTCCCTCTGCGGAACACCTAGAAAGAGTGGGCGCCAGGCGCTTGTCATTAAGCTGTCCCAAAGGTAAAAACAAGTCACCAAGGAATCAGCCACGGAAGAAACACACCCTGGGGAGAATGCGGGAGTACGGTTAAGGAAGAAGCCCCCGAGCTTTGAGGGAGGAGGCAGCTGGCTCCCGGGTCCCAGCTCGCCACCCACGGGCTGTGTGACAGCGGCCGAGTCACCTAACCTGTCTAGGCCTCAGTTTCCCCACCTGTACAGTGTTGACCACGGCTCTCTGCGTGTTGTGAGCATCCCAAGGGAAGAACTAGGTACTGAAAGCCTCCCCACAACGTCTGACAAGTGGCCTGCGCCCCACAAACCGCCACTACCTCTGCGTAGGAACACAGGCCTTGTGGAAATACATTCCCCGAAGAGTTCATCTCTATAGATGGGATCATATTTGGGTCACAGTTATTCATCCATCAGGTTCAGAAGCAGTCAGGGTCCCGCTGGGCACCGGAATCCACCTGAGACCCCAGAAGGGGCAGGTGGGTCGGGAGGGCAGGGGGCGCCTCCGACAAGTCCCTCCGAGGGCCAGGGCGTCCTTCTGCGCGCCGCGGGCCTGGCACACCTGATGTGTGCTGAGTAAAATCCAACCGCGGGGTGTTGACTCCCCATCAAGGGTCCTCCGCTCTCCAGTGTCTTTCTCCTAACTTTCAAGAACGCGCTGCGGCGGGGAAGGCTCGCGTCCATCAGGCCGGGGCTGCCCCCACCGCCTCCGGCACCCCGCCATCAGCCCCGCAGCCGCCACCCGCCCTCACAGACGACTCACCCCTTTCCGTCTGGCCTCATCGTTCAGGGCGGTCACCCAGGCGGCCTGCCACTCGCTCCTCCAGCTGTTCAGCGTCAGCATCCAGGCTAGCAGCGCGTCCGACTCGGGGCGCCGGCCCTCGCCAGCCTCGGCAGCCCGCCGCGGGGGCCGGGGTCGCGCCCTGGCCAGCGCCCACTGCGCCAGGTACAGGCCCACCGTGCCCAGGGCCACGACGAAGAGCGACACCAAGACCAGCCACTGGACCTCACCGAGCCACGAGCTCAGGCGGGACATGGTGATGGCGCATACCCGGCGCGCCTCGCCCCGACCTCCCAGGGCAGCGCCGCCCCACCTCCCCAGGCCGGGGTGCAGCGCCGGCGGGCGGCGACCTCAGGACATGAGCGCGCGGCCTGCCGGGCTCGCGGGGGGCGTGGAGGGGGCGCGGCGGGGCCGGGCGGGCGGCGGGCGGCGCGGGCCCGGGGGGCGAGCGGGAGGGAATGTGCGGCCGGCGCACGACGGCCGCGGCCCGAGACTGCGCCCCGGCCCCGCACGCCTGGAAGATGGGGACGCGGCGCTCGGCGTTCGCGACCAGCGCGTCTGGGCAGGTCCCGGGCCGCGGCCGCCGCGCTTCCTCCTCCGCGCGCCGCCCCGGGCGTCCCGCCCGCGGCCCCAGCAGTGGCCGGAGGAGGCTCCGGCCGGGGCGGGGCGGGGGCGGGGCCTGCGCGGCCGGGACCGCCCTGCGCCCGGCCGTCCCCACCGCGTCCCCCCCGCCCCCCGTCTCCGCGCGCGGCCCGCCCCCCCACACCACCCGGCCCCTTAAAGGCCCCGCGGCCCCGGCGCCCCGGTCGGGCCCCGCCCAGCCACGTGCGCGCGCCGCGCGGGGGTCCCCCCCGCACCCCCACCGGCGACTGTCGCGGGCCGTGGCGGGGGCGGAAGGCCGGCCGCCCCCCAGCGCAGACGTGCCCCCGCCGTGGCTCGGTGCGCGGGGCTTTCCGGTTAGATGGACCCCAGGGCGCAGCCGGGCCGGCGGGCTTGGCGCGTGTGCGCGTGTGTGCGCGCCTGTGCGCGCGGAAGGGTGATTTCTAGTATCACCATCTGCCCAACAGCAAGACACTGTCTGCTTTTAACACACTTGGAAAGTCCCTGGAAACCCACGGCTGATCAGTCCCTGAAGGCTGGGGGGCCTGGAGCCTCGCCTCCCGCGCTGCGTGCTTCTGCCCAGGAAGGGTCTCAGGAAAAACGCCCCCAACTTCGTGTGGATGTGTTGTTTGTTACGAATTGTGCGTGTGTGCGTCTTGTGTGTGTGGTGTGTGTGTGCGCGCGCGGCATGCCCCCTGCGCCCCACACCTTGCACACTCAGCCCCTATTCGTAGGAAATGCCACGAAACACTAGCCGGAGACTCTTCAAGGCTGAATGAGAGGCCTAAACCACAAAATAGTGATTCGCAGGTGTTTCTGCAGCTGTAGGAGGCGGATTTGACCTTGAACTGGCTGGGCCAGACCCAGGCGCTCGGCCTTTGCCCACCTAGCCGGGGTCAGCCTGGCAGCCAGCCTGGTTGATGACGTGTCAGTGGGGATTCTGGCTCCAGGGTTGCCGCAGAGGGGCTCCTCCCTGCTTCCCCCCCAGCCCCTCCCTGCCCCTGCGCGGGAACGTGAAGCCTTAGAAGCTGGCTCAGAGGGGACTTTGCGAAGGAGACGCGGGCTGGTTCGGCAGATCTGGGATTGGGACCTAGATCTGGTTCACAGGATAGTGGCGTGTGTGATACTTACCATGCAGAGGCCCTGGGCACAGCAGAGCCAAGGGGCCACAGGTGATGTGACACATCTGCTCCCGGGACCAAGTGTCAGAGACGGGAGTGAGGTCCCTGGCTGGAAGTGGGGTGGTTAGTACAAGGGCATATGAAGATGTCTGTGCAAAGGCCCTGAGGCAGAGAGGGCGAGGGGGTGTGAGCGTTGGAAGCAGTCAGGAGGTGGGCCGAAGCTGAAGCTGGAACCCCCAAATTATGGGTCGTGGATTGTACCAGGGACAAAGGGAAGCAGCAAGCTGTCTTAATAAAGCACAGAGTGGGGGGGGGGGGGAATGGACTTTTACGACTGTCACTCCCAGCAGCAGGTGGAGGCCACATGGGAAGGCAGCGGAGAGGGTGCAACAGACGGGCTAGGGGGTGATCCCAAGGGTCTAAGACAACGGTTTAGACTAGGCGTAGCGCGTGGCGGGGAGGGACCAGGCCCTTCCACGAGACAGTTCTTGTTTAGAGGCTCCAGGCCAGGAGAGAGGAGGGTGAGTTTGAAGTTGTGGGCAGGGAGTAGCAGAAAGATGAAGGAGTTTACACCCCAGGGGCCTGACTTTCTGTGAGAAAGCGGAAGGGATTGGGAGGCAGCTGGTCTGGGAGCCCTTGTGGGGAACAGAACAGGAAGCTGGCAAGGAGGCGAGGGTGCAAGGAGCGCCCAGGTGAGCTGGGGGCGGGGAGCGGGCCCTTACCTGGCAGTTCTCCTATTAGAAAAGTGGAAGCAGAATTGTCCTCTGAGCTTTCTGCAAGCTACCTGGCCATTAAACCAGCCCCCATTCTGCCCACAGGCTCCTGGGGGGTGGCGGGCGGGGGGGGGAGTAGTGCTCTCCTTCTTTAAGAAATCTCTCCTTATTGGCGGAGACATCAAATTATTTTTCTGACCTGTGGCCAGATCCGTGCAGTTGAATAATTCGGGTACTGCTGGCCCCTTGCTGGCGTATCAGGGATGATTAGACACCTGGGGCTCCCGGGCTCCCCGGCAAGGTGACACATGCAGCTGGCTGTGACCCTGTCCCGGTTACCAGACGGCCCGTCCGGTGTGACTGGTGGAACCAGTCTCTCTCCTCCTCCGCCACGTCTCCCAGGCACACTCACCCACGGGCTCATTTCGAGGCTTGGAAGAAACTAACAACCAGCCCTTGGCGCGGAATGTGTCGCGCTGCTGTAAGTTTTTACAGAGGGCATGTAAACACGGTGACGCTGACTGACTTCTGCGTAGACGCAGATTGAGGGGAAATAAGCAAAGGGCACGGGCGTTTGGGAAAATGCAGGTGGCCAAAATGTGCGACAGGAGCGGAAACATCGTGTAAGTCTAGGAGAGCGCCGGGCTCCTTCGGCCTCCAATCCCAGCCACCGTCCCCTGCGCCCAGGCCCGCCCCTCCCCTGCACGGAGGCCCCAGGCCACCAGCGCCCCAGCTAGTGAGACTCCCTGCGGTCAGCGGTCCTGTCTCGGCCACCCCATATCCCTTTAGCTCAAGGGGCCCGGCCGCTGCTCTCTGCCCGGAAAGGACTCTCCTCGCCACCAAACCTTCGAAGATGTGGTGAGTTCCAGCACGTTCCCGGAGCTGTTTTTAAACCACCCCTGACAGGGAGCCCAGGCTGCTTTGAATGGAGTTTCTGTAAGCAGGTGGGGTGGGGGCGGGGGTCTCAGAGCGGGGCTGGGGCCCTTGGGTCCCGGCCACCCATCCTGAGTTAGGCTCTCAAACTGTGGCCCAAGGGAGAGCGTCTTCACATCACCCTGCAGGGCCCATCAGAGACAGCAGACTGCCTGGAGCGCTCTGGAAGGCATCACGTGACCCTCGGGCCCGGTGGGTTCCACAGTGGCAGGGAAGCAACGGGAAAAGCTGTGTTCCCAAACTCCGCTTCAGAATGTTCTGCTGCTTGTGACACAGACCATAGGGTGTGGCAGTAACGGCTCTGTTGGTCCATTTTTCTTTTCACGTAAAGAACATTTCCAAAATGTAGACACGCGTTGCTTTGCTGCGTGATCTCCATCCAGTCCCCCACCCGGGGGCGCTTGTCTGTGCAGCCAGGGGTGAAGTACTTTGACATCTTTTCCTACTAAACCAGGAGGTTCCGCGATGATGTTACATTTTTAAAAATTAACAAACACGTCAAGTGTCATGTGTTTCCTATCTATGAACAAAGTTAAACACGTTAATATTACAAATTGTTCACTACCGTTGAGCCAACTGTTCTTACGGATTTTTTAAAATGCTTAACCCAGGGGCGCCTGGGTGGCTCCGTCGGTTCAGCAGTCGACTTCAGCTCAGGTCAGGATCTCACAGTTTGTGGGTTCGAGCCCCGCGTCGGGCTCTGTGCTGACAGCTCAGAGTCTGGTGCCTCCTTCATAGTCTGTGTCTCCCTCTCTCTCTGCCCCTCCCCTACTCGTGCTCTGTCTCTCTCTCTCTGTCTCTCATAAATAAACATAAAAAATTTAAAATAAAATAAAATGCTTAACCCCCCAAATCAGGATACGTATATTTAAATACTTATTCCCAAGTAATTGTGTTAAATTTGTAGAAGGGAAGGAGGAGGCCCTGGGAGTTTATAGTTTATCTCTAACTTGGTAGAAAAATTCCTTCTTCAGTTTGCACAGTTACGATTACTGCTCCAATTACCATGTGCTCTGACCCTGGGCAGGGCGGGCTGTGGTGGGCGAACCTGACCTTGGACAGATGACCCGGGATTACAAGCGTGCAGCCTCAGGGGTGCTGGAGGGAAGACATTCCCAGAATTCCCTCTCGGCAGCGCAGTCCCAGGGGACGCTTGACCGTCTCCTCTGCTATGTTCACAGGGGCCCAGTCATCTCCACAATCCCAAGGCTCGGTGTGTCTCAGGCTGGTTTCCACTCGTGCGGTGGTGGCTACAGGGCACCTGTGAACCCTGCCAAGGTGGCCCACCCCCAGGGGGCTCAGTGAGTTAACCGTCTGACTCTTGATTTCCGCTCAGGTCATGATCTCACAGTTCATGAGTTCGAGCCCCGCGTCGGGCTCTGTGCTGACAGCATGGAGCCTGCTTGGGATCCTCTCTCTCTCTCTCTCTCTCTCTCTCTCTCTCTCCCTCTGAAACTAAATATATAGACATTAAAGGTGGTCCACGGGCAGAGTCAGTATCTGTGCCAGACGAGGCCTCCCTCTCTGTTTGACCTTGAATTCTCCTTCTCCCCATTCGCATGACTGGCTGAGACGTGCTTCATGCTGGTTCATGATGCCTTCCCAGGGAGAAAGGCGACAGTGCTGGTGACCACACTGACTCCCATCCCTCTGTGAGGGGCCTCGCTGCACCCTCCCGTGGTGGGGGTCCCCTCGATGCCCTGTGCGTGGTGGGGCACCTGGTAGACAGACGCTGCAGTTGGCGCTTGGCTGGATGGGCTCACTTCGTTTCCAGGGCAACGCACAGAGGATGGCATCATCCCGTTTTCAGAGTGAGGACGCTGGGTTCAGAGAGGCTGAGTCACTTGTCCAAGGCCACACAGCGAGAAAGCTGCAGAGCCAGAGTCTGATGCTAGGGAGTATCAGCCCCAGAGCCCGTGATCTTTCCCAAGCATTCTCCGAAAAAGAGGAAAATGGTAGAGGCTGGCAAGGAAGGGGTCCCATTTCTCAAGCGCTTGGGCAAAGATCTGTCCAAAGAAGATGAATTGCCTTTTGTGTTCTGAAGTCCAGGAGACACGGACTCTTTCAAAACCAGAGGGGAAGGAAGTTCACCGAGGGTTCATTCGAGGGACTTAGAAGGAGCCTCTGCTCGGCCCCTGGCCCTTCCTGGGGAAGACACAGATTCCTGTCACAGGGCCTGCTGGAGTGGCCGGCTAACCGGATCACCGTCCCGCCAAGGAGGGTCCGAGGGGCCATCCCCC